GGGCGGACCCGCAGGCCGGTGCCCTCCGCGACGCAGGCGGGAGGTGGAGCCGCCGAACGCCACCGAGCTCTGACTGGCTTCAGCCGCACCCACGGCCCTGCGCGCCCCGGGTGGCTCCGGCCAGACTCGTCACAGGGATGGGGATGGACCCGCACGCTCCTGCCCCCCAGCCTGTGGCTGGAAGGGACCGTCCTGCCGGGGTCACTCCGGTCCCCAGCGATCGCCTGGGGAGGAGACCCCTCTGCGTTCAGCATAAAGCCAAAGCCTAAGTAAATGACATGCAAAATTCACCCGCGCTTGTGGCCATTATTGCGATCCTTCGCTGTTACGAGGGCCGTCCAGACTTCCAGTCACGCGCTATGTAAAGACGCGCCCGAGGCTGGGGCACAGCAGAGCTCTGCAGCGGAGCGGGGGTGCCGGCAGCCCCTCGCGCCCACAGCCCGGCCCAGCACCTTTGGCCCCGGTGGGGTTGGGCACGGGGTGCTCGGGAACCCTCGAGGGGGATGGAGCACACGTTACTGGTACAACCTCAACCCAAGCCCACGTCCCTGCCAGGGACTGCGCCTTTCACCCTCAGCTGTCAACCGACACACACCAACCATCCAGAAAATCATCTTTAAGTGTCTCCACAGGCTGTAGGACACTACGCTGCGCCTGGGTCGACTGGAGGGGTTTTTCATGGAGGGTCACCTACAGCCTACAGCATTTCCCACTAAAATCCCTTCCAGTTCTTCAGGTTCACCGAGAAGCTTGCTTCCAAATTAATTTTGACATCTTTGGAACAGTAACTTCCAGGATTTAAGACTTCTGATAAACAGGATTTGAACATATCAGAAAACCTGGGAGAGTCTTATGATATTAATGACATTAAGAGCATGAAACACGTAAGTATAAAGATCCTGACAGACATGCGGAGGGGCCGTCCCTGAGGTACTTGTTCTCCTAAAGCCTCCTTCAGCAGCAGCCTCGGGCTCCTCTAGTCCCAGACAGATTTCCACACACTGGGGCTCAGCTCGACTTGCCTCCTACGTGTGGGGGTTTCTCTCGGCATCCCTCCGGTGAGCGAGTGAGGCCATCCAGGTTGCTCCCCAACGGGACCCCACTGCCACCATCCCCCTCAGCTGCTCCAACAACTTCCCAACACTGACCTAGGGTTCTGATCATGGCCCGTGGCCAGAGCGAGGTGGAACATCCACCCCCGTCCCGTTGGCGCTTGGCCAGGCCGGGGCGGTCTGCAGGAGCTGTCCTGGTGAGAGCAGCCTCCGGCTGTGCTGAGCAAAATCCCTGAACCCAGTTTCACTGACCTGCACATTTTCCAGGCTCCACTGTTACATGAAAATCCCTCTAAAAATCCTCATTCTGGCCTCACAGTATCAATAACGAGCCCCAGTTCACGGTTGCAGGGTGCTGGCACAGACTCATCGATGTAAGTGGATGGATTCCTGCTCGGTCTGTTCCCTGAGAAACAACAGATGTGAAGACAATCACAAGACACTGCCTAAAAATCAGTGCCCTTTATTTCAAACACAAATGTCTGCTTCACATGAACTTCCTTTTCTCATTAATGTCTCAGTATTTATAAAAGATGACAACTGTAATCTGAAAAGATTTTGTACCACTGAAATTATCTTATAGATGTGCTTTTAAAGGCAAAGGAAAAAATAATAAAATCAAGTGCCTTAAGTTGGGGATCTTCTGTTTCTGGAAAGCAGTCTAGCAGCCAATCTGGTCTCCGAAAGAGAAGAAAAGCATCACTGGTCTCCCCTGCAGGAACATCTAACAAGTTGTGAAGCTGGCCAAGTGTGTTTTAAAAATAATGAGTTACCCCAAAGGAGATACCAAAATAAAATGCACAAATATACCCAGAACTGTAATTTTAGCACACACATGCAAAAGCTAAGCGCAGAAGACACACAGCTCCCACGGCTTTCGGGCAGTCTCTGTAGTGTTTCTCTCCCCATTATAATACCTCAGCTCCAGCACTCGTGTTGCTCCCGGCCTTCAGCTCCGCTTGCTCTCGGGAGTCTGTCACACCAGCTCCCCCCACCGCTGGCACCTCTCCTAGAGCCTCCGTCTGCTTCTGCATTTGCACCCTGGAGCACCCCGGCCAGAGCCACCCCCCGGGGGCTCAGACACCTGCGCAGATCAGGCTCGCGCTGAAGAGTTTGCCAATGTTACTGTCAGTTTGGGGTGTGAAAACTTTGCGTCGCTTGTCTCTGATGGCAAAACATTTGGTGTGGAGCCACTGGAGATGCTGGGCGGAGAGGGGCCGCTGCCTGTGCTGGGCAGGGAGCCGGTGCACAGTAGCTACCAGCCAAACTTGGCGTTTGCCGGCCCTGCGCCACGGGCTCTCAGCCCCCGACCCTCCATCGACAGGGGAATTCCTCTGTTCCACAAGGCACCACAGGTGTGGGATCCCTCAGCACCCCCAAGGCATTACAAGGCACCAGCGAAGGTCCCCTAAGTATCTGGAGACACTACAGGGAGTGTTCAGATCTCTGAGACTCATCCTCCTTTGAAACTTTTGGTTAAACTGCTAATTCTGACTTTTATACAGGTTTTACACTTCTCTTAGGTAAGGCTTGAAAACATTGTAAGTTACAAAATGAAATGACATCAATTTCCCTTTCATTTAATAGAATCATATTCAGTAGTGTCAGCTCTGAAATAAAGATCCCAGATCTGAAACGTTATTTCTAATTTATACTGAAAGACTGATCTGCAACATGAAATTGCATGACTGCTTTGCAGTAAATATGATGCAGCAAACTTGTTTCTAAATATAGACAAAGGTTAAGTTTCTTATAATAATCAAGGAATAATAGAAACATCATGATAATGAAGATTTTATAATTAAAATAATCAAATTCTCAAGAAGCCTGGAATGAAAGCTGTGGGCTGTATTCATGTATCATAATCTAGAGTGACTGTTCTGCAAAGCTATTTTGGATTTCTGCTGCCAATTAAAACCCAGAGCTCCTACTCCAGATGCCTCACTCAGATCGGCCCGCGCAGTCTGCTGGAGTCTTTCGCGTTCAGGTGTCCCGTCTGCCAGAAAAGGGACACGGGAAATTATCCAACAGCCTACACCCACCAAACCTCGAGAGAACCTCCCCCAGGGCAGGCGTGGAACCGCGGAGCACGGCTTGAGAAAGGCACGCTGGTTCTTTGGATGACGGCACGCACTGAGGTCTGTGACACAGCCTAAGGGAAATTTATTTAAAGTGTTCACATTATAGGCAAGACAACACCCCTGAAACTTCTCCACTCCTGGTACGAGAGGCGCTCTACATTTTAAAAGCTGTAGATTCCATATCTCTTCTTGGGAGCTTCAATGGAGGAATTTTTGGCAAAATCTCTTTTGCATAAAGTGTTTTGTGAAGTCCAGCTTCTCGAAGAGCTAGCTCAACACGAAGTCTGGGGTCAGAAATGATCTGTTAAAATAAACCACAGCAATGATAAATAGAAACAAAACAATACTTCCCTCATGGAGTGTATCTTACAGGTCATCTGTGAGTGTATGTATCTAAAAAGTTTTAAAAGACAGACGGAAAATTAAGGTCATAGAGTTAAGCCTTCAAAAGCAGAGCAGCTCTACAGTGAACAAGCATTACCCCACTGCACGCACCTTGATATTAGCCTTTTAAAAATTAACGATCAGAAACTATTTTAATAAAGAGCCCTGGCTGTCATTCCTCAGCAAAACTCAAAGGGTAGATGGGAAACAGTGACTTTTTAATTCTCCAGTGTTCCCCATCAGTGCAGCCCTTGCTTTCAGCACAAGACTTAATCCCTCCTGTTTGTTCCTGTGGAACCTGAGCGCTTCACGCGCAGTATGAGTTTTCTCTCAGCACTGCCTTGCGACCGCATGGCAGTACCGCTTCCGTTTTACAGAGCAATAATTAATGCCCACGGAAATTACTTCTAAAATTTGTCAAAAGGTTGTCTGGCAAAATTTGAAGGCCTCGTCCAAATCCTCCTGCCACGGGCTGTGGCAGGGGAGCACTGAGAGCACAGGAGAGCGTCACAGAGTCCTGCCCAGTGCTGCTGGGACGTCACCGTCCCCCCCCCAGCTCAGGCCAGGCCATGCTGACATGCTGGGCAGGAACCACAGCCTGAGCACTACCAAAACCCACTGAGGCCAAACGGGAAGAATATTATGAGCATTCGGGTATCAATCCCAAATACGCATGTTCACAGGATTTTTAGGCTAAGGCTTTTCAGAGCCCCACACCTCAGTCAGGTTTGGGTAAACTTTAATAGCCAGGCAAAAACTACATCTCTTGTACCATGTCTCTACTTTACCAAACTGAGAAGCTTTAAAACATCTTAAGATGGGAAATGCTGGACAAGCTTAGTTATAGAAGTGGTTAAATTTCCACTTATTCAGTGCTAAAAGAAAGCTTTTATGCCATAGAATTATACCATAGCAGTTCTTTTTCTGTAAATGTATTTTTCAAATTCCAGAGTGGGAATAATTTCAAGTGCATAGACTGAGCAGATGGGGAACAGTAAGGGAATCAAAAAATCTTCCCCTGTGTTGCTTAATTCCATTTGAAACTGAGTGAGCAGTGTCCTCAGCAATCTGGGTGACCCGAGGAGTACAGTTACTTCAGTCTCCTGCTTCATTTAGACCTCACTGGCTTCCTCTCCTTTAGCACTTGCATATCACATCCCACCTGATCTTCAATCCAGGAATAGCGTAAATATGGTCAAGATACTAGTTTTCAGCTTATGAAGAGATTTGAGCTGTGCATAATCTTCTAAGAAAAAAGAATTGCCCATAATGAAGTTACCTGTGACATAGCTCTCTCGTACAGTCAGGAGAACTTTTATGCTGAGTCAATTAGCTTCAGATACTTAGTACAATGCTAACTGGAGCGGGTGGAAAGGAGGCATTCTTTCAAGTAAATCCATAAAAATGCAGTTTTGAAATTAAAAAGTAGCAAACAGATCAGTCAAAAGGCCCCACGAACATGGGAACCGCCCAGTGGTCCTCTTGGGCGTTTCCTTTCCACAGGGGCGGGGACGGGGGCTGCTCCTCAGGGAGCCCCAGGAGCCCCACGCCGGACCCAAACAGCCCTTTGGGGCCAACTCTCGTGCTCCTCCAGCACTACTGGGTCAGAGAGATCACCCCGCCTATTACTCCCAATGTCCTTATTTTGATGCACATTATATTCTCTACTGTACTGCTAATACTGCTGTTTAGGACAGATTATTAACATCGCCCCCATCTATCACTGTGAGGGTCCGTGTACATGCAATAACCTGGAGCGTGACTCCAGACCCCCACCTGCCGCTCACTGTACGTATGCAGCTGAAACAGCGGCTTCTGGAGGTCAAACTCTTCGTTGGTTCCAACGCCCATCCGAGCTTTAGATGCCACCGTATCAGCCACTACTCTGGCTGGATCCAGTTTTGCAACAACGGCGACCTAAAATACAGGATATGAAAATAACAATCAGTCTGTGTAGACACGAGGTGAGAAAGGGTTATTATCAATAACACATCTTTTGAGAGCAGGATTAGTTACCTGGTTTAAAAATTTCAGAAGTTGTTCTTAAACCACTTTGTATCCATATGTAAAAGTTGCAAATCTTAAAACTTGAACCCAAAGTAAAACCACTTTGACAGAGAATAATAATCAGGGAGGGTTTTTTGCCTGTTTCCCAACAGAGACAATTTAATTGGCTGGACTTCACCCAGAACAACCACAAGCTGTGAACATCTGTCCTTGAAAACACAAACTTGAGAGCTGGACAGCATTGCCATGAAGAGAGAGCTGATGCTGCCACCTCATCACATGCTTACGCTGAGCTTTAGGCTACAGAAGATGGGTCTTTGCACCGTCCCGAGGCGTGTGGCCCCGTGTGGCCCCAGCCACAGGGCAGCCTTGGCCACAAGAGAGGGGCAGGAGCAGCCTCGGCTCCAGCAGAGAGCAACGTGAGCTCTGACCCTCAACACCAGCAACCAAAAGGAACCAGATGACACATAATTTAGAAATACCCACAGTTCCTGCAAGTCCAAACTTTCTGCTTTCTCTTCAGATGGAAACAAAGGTGTTCAGATCAGCAGATCACAGTTTTTGCTGAGTCACGGGCAACAACCCTGAATGATATGACACAAATAATGAAATTCTTTGGGCTTTTTCTTAAGTGTGTCCATCTTAACTGTTTAATTTCTTGTGGGTAGGTCAGTATCCAAGATTCTATGCAGCCTTTTTCATTGCTTATTTTCTTTGTGTTAAAATATGCAGATATAGGCTAATGCTACTTTGGAAAATACAGAAAGATGCAGGAGCAAAATAATCCAAGTCAGAACACCATCTGAATGGCTAAAACCAGAAAAATATTTAAAATTGTATATGATTCTTTTTTTTTCCATCCCTTTAATAAAATGTCATCTTTGTATTTAGAGGCTGTCAAAATACACAGACTGGATGACTTTACTAAAGACCTTGGTTTTTTCCCCCATACAACCAAAGGGTGTATTTTATGAAGCAGTATTTCATTAGTGTGAAATACAGAAAATAAATATTGGTTATAAAAATGTAATGAATTGGGAACTCTACCATCCTGGTGAAAAGCCATTCTAGAAACATTTTCTGCTTTGGTAAGAGAATTGGGCCAGTCAGAAGAGATGGACAGATCCTGACCAGCCTCTTGCAAAATCTGACACAAAAGACAACACAATTCAACCCATAACTTAGAAAAGACATGAGAGTTATTATTAAAAATGCATTGACAACCTAAAATAACACTGTTAATACTGCAAAATATTTAATCAAATCAGATTATTGAAACTACAGCGGTTTTGACTGGAAATGAGCCCCAGTTCAACAGTCTCAAAAAATGACTGAAATAACAGACCAATGATCCCTTAATATTAAAAAAATAAACAGGTTTGTTTATCCCTGTTGTGCTCAGCTCTCCCACAGAAGATTTGACCTCTGTTGTATTTTTCTTTCTCCTTGACTTTGTGCACCCAGCTGCTGACATGAAAGCACTTACAAGGCCACAAACAGCCCAGGAGGGACTAAGGCAGAATTTCACTGGGGTGTGCGCTGCACTGGGATGGTTAATCCTGAAGCCAAGGGACATGCTCAATGTGCGGCCGAGGCTGCACCAAATACCGTAGGTTTAACCTGGGGAGAAAGCTGCTGCATTGCTGCTGTTTACATCATCCGAAATCAAAAGGGTTTGAAGAGCACCTTTTCTCCCTCCCTTATTTTCCTTTGGCTGCACATTTAAGCTGCAGGTCCTGGGCTGTAAAGAATGTGAACTCAAGATTTTTCCTTCTAATCTTTGGAGGAAAACCAAGGAAATTAGATAGAAAAATATAAATGAAGGTAAAATTACTCCTTCAAAAGTCATCAGTAGGGAAAAAAAAGTAGCACTACATTTACTATAAGAAACATTAGCAAGCATTTTCTGGGCTGTCCTTAACATGAAAAAGTTTCACAGAAAGTTAAATCTCTCTCTGAAGAAAAGTCATCCAAGGTCTGTAAGTTTTCAGAATTTAAAAAGAATTTAAATGACTCATAAATCTTGCCTAAGACTCAAGGCAGACTTAAGATTATTAAAAAAAAAAAAAAATCAAAAGAGAAATCATATCCAACCCAGAAAAAATAGTATCTACCTATTTTCAGATATCAACAGCTTCTACAGTGCAATTTAACATCATAATGTTCCTGTTGTCAGAGTTACAAAGCACTCAGGATTTATAACATGACAGAATTACTGTTAAAGTCAGACCAAAAGCGCATTTTAACTTCTTCATTTATTTGCTTTTGATAGATCATCCTTTTTATCTTTCACGTAATGTGACAGTATGTGTTTATCATTACTGTATATGAAAATACAATATACAGGAAATAAAACCACCTGTTGCCGGAGTGCTTCAAGGCATTTCTCTCTTTCCTCCTCTTCACGTGCTGCTCGAAGGGCCAGCTCCTTTTTCTCCAGCAACCGTTTTTCTAGTAACGCTTGTCTGAATTTTACCCTGCGAAACAGCATGTGTACAAATGGAGAAAACACTGGTCAAGGGGGATTTTCTGTTTCTGTTATGATATTTCAGTATGAAAACTAGTCTGATGTTTTCTATATCCACCTAATACGGTGATTCATCAAAACATCTGAAAAATCCAGAAAATGCTTTTTCATTTGAATGTGTTATTTTTGCTGGGAGTTTTTTGGTTTGGGGAGTTGAATTTTTTATTTCTTTTGGGGGTTTTGTTTATTTGTTTTAAACAACTTGGCTAACCATTCAGATTGCATTTCTAGAAGGCAGATTTTCTCTAGCATGCTTTATATAGCCCTGTTACTCTTCTTTTCCCCATTTTCTTTGCCAAGAAGAAATGTTCTCTGACATCTGTGTATGGCAGAAGAACTCTTTCTTATAACCCTTTCCATTAAAAGAAACACATCACTCCAATCTTGTTACTGGAAGAAGCAAGAAAACTTGAGAATGAACTCCTTCTTCAAAAGGAAAAAACTGGAGGTTAGCACAAATAATCCTGAAACTTTACCTATGGCATGATTTTTGCTGGTCAGCTTTTCACAATAGGTTCTTACAGCCCCGGCAGCACCACTGCGACCGTATTTCCTCAGAGCTGGCGGTGTGCTGCCGAGCTCCGTTTCTCGGAGCTGCAGGGCGTTCTCTTACGCAGGACTGGCCACTGCCACGCTTGGCATTCAGACATTTAGCCTTCTTTGCCCTTCAAATTTTAACTTGCCTTTAGAGAAATGGAGAAGAGCGAGCTGCTTCAACTGCAACAAAACATGTATTTTTATTTTTTACTCTCAAAATTCTAGTAAGCTCAGAGGAGCTTAGAACTTGTGAAATGAACTAAAAAACTCAGAACTAAACGTGCAGTTACGTTAGTAGCCAGAAAAGACCAGGGCATCAGTGACCCGGTGACAATGGCCAGGACACAGGGATCTGTCCCAGGGGAGCGGGACGCAGATGCCTGCGGGTGCCCCAGAGAGACTTTCAGTTCCTCCCTCTTTGGGCAGGTGGATGCCTACAACAGTAATCTTCAGCGTAATCTTGCTCCAGTGAGAAAGCCAAATATTTTTATATGAAGAAAATTTAATAAAAAGCAGATACTAATATTTTCCTGAAAATGACAAAGATGGTACTGACAACCCTTCCCTCTGCTCAAGCTGCCTACTGATACATGTTCTGAAGAACTCCAGCATTATCCATACAAGATTCAGTGCCCTGGACAAGCGAGGGGCACTCCTCCAGGTCTGGCTTCCATCCTTGGTCTCTGCTGCGGAAGATCCGATGCCCACGGCAATGTAAAGCATTGCCAGAGGGCAACGGGCCGGGGCACAGCAAGGACTTCGTATCCTGCCATGGCTCTTGTTGCTTCTGGGAAGGTTCATGTTTTCACGACTACGGCACCCTCAGGAGATCATCACCCTGCTCACGCTGGAGAGACCAAGGCCAGTATTAACAGAGATTTAAGTTTCACTGTCAGAGGGCAGTGGCAGTGCTTTGAAATCAACACTCGGAAGGCAGAGAACTTTGTAAATACATATTCAACTGTACACTGCATTCCTAAATTGGAACATTCCTCCAATACTTTTTATACTTGGCTTTAAATGTTTACTTGAGCTTTGATTTCACAGGGTCCACATCCAAATAAAGTTGCTAATTCTCTTTCACTCTATTATACGTAGTAATATTTTAGCTACTAATTGTTCAAAGTAAACTTAATTTTATAGAAAAGCTTAAAATTAAAATGTCTTAATACTCAATTTTGACTTTAATACCACAGTAAGTAACAACTTTAATAAATCACCAGCTGAAAAATGAGCTTAGCTGATTCGTTTCAGTAAAGCTACCTTTCTGAAGTACTGTGGGTACACACTTATGTAATTTTGGATAAGCATAATTTCATTAAAACTCTGCTTTCAGACACTGTCTCATAAATATTCACTAGGAAACAATGAACAACTATGTTTATTATGAAAGCTTTAGCAAAACTTTTTTTTGCCCCACATCACGACGTATCCTGTTCACTGTGGTCAGCTGAAGCAGTCTCACAGAAGCAGCAGAAAGTGTTATTTTAGCAGCGAAGAAGATCTGCCTGTTTCCCCGTGACGGAACCGATGCCCCGTGTCACCAGGGCCCGAGGCAGCGGGGACAGGAAGCGTTTTACACGCTCATTCCACCCTTTGGGACGCGGCCCCCGGTTCCGAACCTCTAGAACGTTGCTGACTCAGGCTGCAGAGGCAGTGACAGCGCCGTGGCCACATCCCAGCCCTTGGCTCTGGGGACTCACTCTCAGCCCGAAGCAGAGCTGCCCCAAGCAGCGACTCACCCACAGCCCTCCCGTCTGCCCACCCTTGGGAACGCCTTCAACACCCAGTTGTTTGCCCCCAGGTTTTCTGGATTCTCTGGGTTCGGTGTCCCCCAACGCAGAGCACCGAGGGGAGAGCGGGAGGGCTGCCAGGAGCTGGCGAGAGCTGGCTTCAGGACAGGGCAAGGGGAGGTCACAGGCAGGGAACTGCTGCAGGGGGCACATGGGAGGGAGAGCTGCGCTGCACCCCCGGCTGCCAGCGCTGCACCCCAGCCAGCTGCCGTCGCTGCTGCTGGGGGTTAGTCAGGTCCAGGCCCTGCAAAGAGCCACCCTTCAACCCTTGCCCCCGCTCGCCCCCCCTGCTCTCGGGACTGGCGGCCAGGACTGGCAGCAGGACCGGCGCTGGGTTAAAACACCTGCAGATGTTTCCCACGTGCTGCCTGGCCGGAGAGCGGGGCTGGGCCAATCGACTCCCCACAGGTAGGGAGTGAAAATATTTGCACAATTTTATGCTAAATTAATTCTCACCCTGCAGCATTAATGCAAAATCTAATGCTTGGGGGGGGAGAATGTTCTTTTAGAATAGCTTATGTATATTCAACCCTTCCATAGCTGAGGGACTTGATGGAGGACCTGACTGAAATTCACTGCATGGATTAACAGAGGGGGAAGCGGACTGTTGGCAGCAAACATCTGCCCTTCTGGATGCTGATTCCCAAGGTGGAGTAAGACCCAAATGCAGTTTGTGGTTCTCGATACCGCATTAAAAGGGCACCTGTAATTCCGTGTCCTAAAGCCACGGCCCCGCAGAGCTCACGGGGCGTTCAGGAGAGCTGGACGTGTGGTGCTGCAGCAGCAGCCAGGCCCACACCTACACCTCTGCTGCCAGCCGACCCCTGCGAACGCCTCCTGCCCCCACGCCCTTCTCCCCCCACAGCGCTGCTGAACGCCCCTAAGGAGAACACCCCCTGTTCACCCGGTGCCGGCTGCGCTGCGGGAGCGCTCCTCTCTGGAGCTGTCAGCTGCTAAACCTTTCATTTTTACTAAAAATCGGATCAGAACTCTCTGCTTTCCCTTTCAAACGTGGCCAGCCCAGACCTCTTCTGACGCACACCAGCAATCAGAGCTCTTTTCCAGACAGTTTTGGTCTCAGGTTCTTAGCCTGAAGGAGCTCAAATCTGAATTTTCTGCATCATCAGCAGGATCAGAGCCAGCGAGAGCGCGCAGCAGCCCAGGTAAGGGCACCACCACCCCGTTCCTGTAGCTGGACCCCTACCAGCAAACACCACGAAATGTGTGGCAGTAGAAGGAAGCACAAGAGGAGTATGATTTTCACCTACTTTGGGGACCTTTGATGTGATCTGGGCAGACCCAGATCCTTACCCAGTCCCTGTGGTTTTTTAAAAGACTGTTTTAAAATTTTGTATGAAATGACTGTTGGATAAAAAAAATGAATACAGAATAGATATTGTGCTTGGAACAGAGATCACAACACAATCCTCTTCCCCTCTCCCGTATTTCTGAATGCAGATGGCATTGCTTGTTAGATTTGATTTTGTGTGGCACTTGCTACTGTCACCATCTTGTACTCGATCAACATCTACAGGAACTTACATAAACTTAAACCCACTGGGGTTTAGGCACGTGCTGGGTAGCCAGCTGCTCTGAAGACAACAGTTCTAAGACATACACGCAACATAAAGCTGCAGCTACCTAGGAACTTCCAGGCCCAAAAATATAATCTCCAATCCATTAAATGTCTCCACTGTCAGATAGTCACCGAGCAGAGGAGTTGTAGAAAGCAAATGTGGACTTAGTCACTTGGAATTCTACATCCAGCTTCAGGTGCCTTTAATGCTCTTCTCTGATCTGGTCACAGCTCTGGTTATTCAGCATCTTGCAAGTACCAAGCAAGACCTGAATAAACAGAGCACTATAGTGACTGTGATAATAATTTTCCTTTTTATAAACCTTATTACTTAATTTTAAATTAATTTTAAAAGCAGTTCAGGATAACAGCAAACCATTTTTAATGTCTTATTGTACCTATTAGAAACTCTATGCACTATCCAGGCCGTATCTTGTACTTGGAATAGTCTGTCAGCTCACAACCCATAAGTCTTTTCCTTTCCCAGAAAAGCCTGTAAAGGTGTCAGATCTGAACGGTGGCACTGGCCTGGGCCAACTTTCACAATCAGTTCTGCAAAGACTCAAAACCAATTTGTGTGCTGCAACAGGTGAAACATGTAAGAGTACTGTGAGTTTCTTCAGAACTGCAGTTCTGCGCTCTGACGTGACCATGCCGGTGTGTCTGCCTCCCTTCAGACCTACCTTAAAACGCCTTACACCATACCTGTAGCACTACAGTACCTAATGACAGTAACATCTCTGCCCTTCGTTGATTAATGTTTCTGAAGGCTTTGAAGATGAAAAGCACGAAGTAATTTCAGAGAATTATTAATCTCCACAAACTGTAAGCATTTTCCTTTAAGCTGTTTTATTTGGTACAGTGTGCCAATTCTGGGACACACAATGCTAAGCATTTACCAACTTTTGATTCATAATAGCCCAAAGGTGTGATTATTTCATTCCTGCATTCCTCAATGAACTGTGCCATTTCCTTGTATTTTATTCTGCAAGGTTTATTAGCATAAGAAAAAAACATTCCCTAACTCTATGGCATAGCACAGTGCACAGCTTTAAAGAAAAGTCCTTTTTTCCTCATCAGTTCTGCTGAAAACTCAATAATTCAAGTACGTGTGTCTCTTGCTATGAGCTAAAATCATTGCAGGTATGTTTAAGGAAAGGCATAGATATATTTGTAGCATAAGCATACGGACATTTAAATTTAGCTGTCATTGTAAATTTAGGTATTGTAACAAAATAAGGTCAAAGTAGTGTTTCCCTGAAATGCTTAAGACCAAATTTAATATTCTAATGCCAATGGCACTTTAACCCTATTTTAATTACATTTCTGGTCCATGCAATTTGGTGGCTCCCTCTACGTAAAAAAAGCAAGCCTGTGATTTGAGAGCAATCATAAGCAGACTGCGTGCTCTGTGACAGAGGAACTGCTCTATGAAATCAGGTATTTCCCCGCAGGTCCTTAAAGGCCATCCCCTGCAATGAGGACTGGGCAAGGGTTCAGCTGTTAACGGGCTGAAGTCCTAAATTACATCAAACAGGTGAAGAGCAACTACAACTAGATGCACAGTTTAAGACCCTCTAAAAGAATAATAATTATCTTTGAGGCTGTGAAGTGCCTGATGTGCTCCTCTCATACGAAACAAACCTGATTATAAATAATTTTGCAAGGTTGGAATGCAGAAGATCTTATTACCCACACAATTAAAAAAATCTCAAAGGGAGCTGGTTTTTATGGGTGTACCCCATCAGTTTAGTGCTTATAGAGCTCTAAGACTTTCATGGATATGAATTGATTCAAACTAAGAAATAAATTGCATCCAGGTACAATCATGATGCAACCTTCCTGCCAAACAGGATGACAAAAAAATTACTTATCTCAATTTATTCTAATTTGGAAAGTTGGGAGATCAAAGCAAATTAGATTATAAGAAGTTCTTAGTGGTACTATAGGTGTTCACATTTAATTTCTTTTACCTTTCTCTGTCTTTAACTGCTTGTTCAGCCATTAATTTTCTTAATTCCTCCAGACGTTGTAGATCTTTCTTTTCCTGTTCTTGCCACTTGAGCTGTTTCTCAGCCCAGTACTTTTTCACCTAAAGTTTGAAGAAATACAGAAAACAAAATAAGAATAATTCACAAGCCAGGGTAGTGAGAACAAATAAAGTAAGAAAAGTAGTAAGTCAAAGAAAATCCAGTTTTGATATTTTTAGAATAAAATTTATATCTTGGAACAGTATGGGCTAACAACAGATTTACTAGGAGAATAAGAGGGTGTGCAGCCCCCACAGCAAAATAGTGCAGTCAGACTGTGGACACAGCATATAATCTTCAGCTGCAAAGGGAAGAATACCACTTTCATTTTGCTCCTCGCTTTCCTACTCTGCCATGAAAACCTTCCACGATGCTGCTCAAGTGAGTGGATGTTCCTCGAGGTAAAATGCCCGAGGGCAGCTCCAGGGGCTGGATCTGCACCAGCCCAGAGCCTGCAGAGGGGCTGGAAGCAGTGTAGGAGCGATTCTCGGTCCTCCTGGACACGTGAAGCTTTTCCAAAGCTGAGGGAGAAAGGCAGGCCTGAAGCAAGACGGCGAAACCTGAGCAGGGAAGCTTATCTGGAAAGCTGAGGCTTTTGGGTGCAAAATGAGGAATTGGGATTTAAAGTAAAATATTGCTGAAGTGAAACTATGAATTCTTCATTTGAATAAATTCTACAGGATTCTGTTCATAAAACCAGGGCAGTTCTTCAAAGACAAAGAATTTGCATCAAGCTTGTAATTCCCGCCTTGCTGTGATGCAGGTTACAAACCAGAGCACAGAGCCACTGAGGCTGGAATGACCCTGCAGATGGTCGAGCCCAACCGTTCCCCCAGCACTGCCCAGGCCACCACTAAACCACGTCCCCGAGTGCCACCTCTACACGTCTTTTAGACACCTCCAGGGACGGGGACTCCACCGCTTCCCTGGGCAGCCTGTTCCAGCACTTGACAACCCTTCTGGGGAAGAAACTGTTACTAATATCCAGTCTAAACCTCGCCTGGTGCAACTTGAGGCTGTTTCCTCTTGTCCTGTCGGTTGTTACGTGGGAGAAGAGACTCATCCCCCCTCTCTGCCCCCTCCTGGCAGGGAGTTGCCGAGGGCCAGGAGGTCTCCCCTCAGCCTCCTCTTCTCCAGACTGAACCCCCCCAGTTCCCCCAGCCGCTCCCCAGCAGACCTGTGCTCCAGACCCTGCCCCAGCTCCGTTGCCCTTCTCTGGCCACGCTCGAGTCACTCAATGGCCTTTTTGGGGTGAGGGGCCCAACACTGAACCCCCTCAGCGAGGGGCAGCCTCCCCAGTGCCGAGCCCAGGGGGATGACCAGGCCCCCAGTCCTGCTGGCCACACTACTGCTGGTACAAGCCAGGGTGCTGTTGGCCTCCTTGGCCACCTGGGCACACTGCTGGCTCACGTTCAGCTGGTGCTCGACCAACACCTTACAGCTCCCTTAAGAAGGAAACTGCTGCAGAATTACACTTCCCAAAGTTTCAAATGGTGACTCACAACTGATCTCACAAGCCCCCACCTTGCTGGGAAAGCTGATAGAGCAGGTTTTCTTAGACACAGGAACAAGAATCACCTTCTCATCTTTGAAGTGCTGACTTCAGGGTTGTTTTTTTTAATACAATTTTCAAGAACACCCGAATTACACTGAAATTCCAGAGCATGACTCCAACACTGCAGTCCTAAGCTAGTGTTAGGTGAGCCCGCTCAGGTCACAAGTGCTGAAGCCACCTCAGCGGAGGGTTTGTAGGGCTCTCAGGTCATCCAACCCCACAGCTTGATCAGCACCAATTAAATCATTCCCATCTAGGTAAGACGCCCCTGAAATACAAATGTATTTACTTTGCTTCTGAGATACCTATTACTATTCGTTTTCACCAAGTCCCAACTGCCAGTTAGACTGCTCCTAACAAGCCATCAGCTAGGCATGAAGTACAAGATGTGTGGTGTGGTACAAGGCCAGCAGCGACTGCCGCACAGACAACTCGCCAGCCCTTTGTCCAGCTCCGTTTACAAGCAGCTGCTGCCGGTGACTGTCAGAGAGAAGCCTCTCTCACTTCGGACACCCGGCAGGGGCACAGAACTTCCAATTCCTGTCCTGTAACAGAAAAAGGCCCTTCTGCTTGCAGAGCAAAGCGCAGGGAGCAGCCTCCTGTACCTCTCGCTCCACAATCCCAGAGCCGGGCATCAACGTCTCCTGGTGATGCGTGTGCGGCCGAGGGCCCAGGGCTGATACCGAGCCCGGCTTTTGGAACCAGCGCCCACATCCCCTGTTGGAGCCACCGCCAGCATGGAGCAACCGCCAGGCCGGCCGAGGAACCCCCGGGAGCAGAACGCACAGAGCACCCGGGCGGCACGGCCGAGCCAGCACTACCCCCGGGACACCCCGGCCGACAGGAGAATCAGTGGCTACTGTCATGGTACAGAAAGAACAGGAAAAAAGAGGTCATTTTGTTAAATCTAAGGAATACTGTTATCTAAAAGAGCCAAATAACACAGCTTCTCAGACTGGGAAAAACACCTAAGAGAGGGGCAAGAAAATGTTCTGAAGAATCCAGGTGTATCTTTAGATCTATGTAATTTGTGCTGAGGGGGAAAAACACCCAAACCAACCACCATTTATGACCTTATATGAAGAATCTACTACTACACCAAAATGTCTCAGATTCTTTTAAAAATTAAAATTCTATAATGTACCTTGCAAATTTTCAAACCCTTCTGCAAACATGGAGAGAACAAAAGCTCTACAGCCCTCCCCAGGCAGATCCCTGCTCCTCTGTGACCCCAGGGGGTACAGGGGGGCTCTGCTCCGCCAGCTCCCCCCTTCCTCCTCTTTCCTTCCCCACTGACCTCGGTGTCGGCAGAGGGGTCTTTCTCCTACCTCCCCCCCAGCAGCCCCCTCCTCCTCCCAGTCCCTTCCCGCAGCCGTTACCCCAGAGGCAGCCCCGTCACCCACTGCCCGGCCTTGGCCAGAGGCGGCTCCGACGCGGAGCTGGGGGAGCTCTGAGGAGCTTCTCACGGGGCCACTGCTGCACCCCCTCCCCTGCTACCAAACACCTGCCACACACACAGACCCAGCACAACCACTAACGGAGTGCAAACGCGCAGACTGCTCCTGGGAACTCTGGACCTCGGCCACTCAGAAGCAGCAACTATTCCACACCAAGCGTGCTGCAGGTCCAGCCCTGCGGAACGAGGAGGTGCTCATGCAGCTCTGCACTCTTCAGCTTAGCCTCACGCACACCAGAACTTTAAGATCTGATGCTTAAATTCAAGAGCTCGTATTCTAAGAAATACCAGT